TCACGAGGAATGATCATCCAATCGGATGCCCAGAATTGTATACATCACACACTTAACCAATACTCGTACTCCGTTCCTGGTAAAAAAAAGTCTTTGGTGAATAAAGAAAATATTTATATCTAAGACAGTTCTTAAATTAGGGATGTTATGATCGCTCATGGTCATAAATCATGTTCGATCATGAACAGCTATGACCGATAACATTGATGTATAAAAAAGCACATATATACATAATACCAATACTTTTAAAATAATTTTTTTCTAGATTTTAAAATGTCAAATAATCTAACTGCAAAACATCCAGAAAAAATTGCCAGTTCATCAAATGAAACTACCCAAATAATTGATAATTTTGACCAAATATATTTAACAAACAATAATACTATGAATTTTTTGATGAAATTGTTAAAGAATTATATAATATATACAATAAAGAAAGATTTAAATGCAATGATATAGATTCGGTCTTTAATATATTAAATCAATTTCTAGAAAATAGGAAGCAAAATCCTGATAATATTATTAATTGGTGCTTGGATAATCAATTTAATCCTATAGCTCAAATTTTTATTGCAAGATGTTATCGGTTTGGTTTATGGATTGGAAAGAACGATCGTAAGGGATTTGTTCATTATCAAAAAGCCGCTGATATGGAGCTTGCTGAAGGGATATTTAGTGTTGGATATTGTTTTCATAATGGAATTGGTGTTGAAAAGGATGAATATAAGGCATTAATGTATTATCAAAAATCTGCAGAGATGGGCATGTTATAGGAATAAATAATATTGGATGTTGCTATAAATTTGGAGTTGGTGTTGAAATAGATAAAAATAAGGCATTCAAGTATTTTCTTAAATCTGCTGAAATAGGTTATGCTCGTAGTATATATAATGTTGCACAATGCTATCTTTATGGATTTGGTGTTAAAAAAGATGAATATAAAGCTTTTATTAATTATAAAAAGTTAGCTGAAATGTAATAAACCGGCTTACTTTAAATTTTGCATTTATAGTGAATTAGAATGTAATTTTATAAAATAATTTTAATAATTGAAATATTGCTGCAATTAAAAGTTGTAATTTTAATATTTATTCTTATTAAAAGAATACTTAACAGAAAAATTGTTTTCATTTGAAGAAGATTAGAGTGGTTCAGGTGAGGCATACATGGGTTGGAATAAAATTTCTTTAATTTTAATTATTTTATTTACTTTTTTATTTAAATTACTTATTGGTTAACATTAAATCGTTATAAAAAAACATTAACAACAAAAATTTATAAAAATAAAGCACTTCTTGAAGATTTATAAATCTTTACAAATTTAATTAATAATATACAAAATTGTTTAGCAAAGTTATTTATAATAATTTTATATATTTATATATATCAACATATAGTATTTAATTATTATGTATTAATATTGTAATTTTATATTAATTTGTGGTTAAGAGTTGTGGTAGTTTGCATTAAATTATCATGATTTCTATGATTTGAAACAAATTAGGACAATTAGAAAATATGTTAAGAAAAGCTACTCTTTACAATAAATCATATATTACTTTACAATATTAGGTTGATCTTTAGAGTTTTAAACAATGATAAAAATAGGGTTGGTCAAATGTAAGTTACATTGTAAGTTACAATGTAAGTTACACTGTAACCTACATCTAACAAATGTAAGTTACATATACGTATATTTATATATAATTTTTTAAATTAAAAATTTATTTAAATTTAAATAGTTTATTATTAGAATTTTGAGTAAATTATTATAAATAATTTATAATATTAAACTACCGTAATTCTTGAAATAACAGGCATGGGCGTTATTTCGAATTTTGGCCCGAATTAAGCTTAATTCGGCAAAAATTCGAATAACACCCATGCCGGCTATTTCGATTAATACTATTTAATATACATAATTATATACAGTAAAACCTCCATAAGTGCGCACACTCTCTATCAAGTTCTGGCCCAAATATATACAGTTATCCCCTCTACAGTCTCCCCCTCTATAATCACATCATATAAAGACCCCTCTTTATCACATTCTACACTCAAACAAATTACGATTAAACATATAAAAAACCACCTCTATATAAGCACAACTTCTTTATAAGCACATTTTTTAAAAAAGTTCTTAAGTAAACAAAATACGTGATTATAGAGAGGGTTGACTGTACATGCTCCTATAAATACACATTCTCTTATTAATCTCTAAGTACATGTTGTTAAAGCTTGGTCCCAAGTGCGTGCACTTATAGAGGTTTTACTGTAATACCAATATATAAAAGAATTATTTATCACGCTTTTCAAATTACTGTGCCAAGTAAGTGTTTTGCATATTGGTTTCCGCTATTACTGAACAGTTGATAGTTGATTGCAGAAATTATACAATATATATCTCAGATAAATTACATATGCCCGATCAAAAACAAGAATTTGCAGATACTTTATTTTTATAAATAACTATATATAGTAAAACCTCCAGAAGTGCACACTCTATAAGTGCACACCCTATGTAAATTCTTTCTAAATGCACGGTATAGCTTAGCCCCAACTTATAAGAGCACTATATATTTTGTTCTTTATAATTGCATACACTTTTTAAGTGCATATTTTGCTTTTTTTTACTATGGTTCTGAGGGGTGCATTTATAGAGGTCTTAATGTAATTCTAGTAATTTTTAAAATTTATAACTTACCTTACCTTACATTGTAACTTACATAAACTAAAATGTAACTTAAATTAAATTTTGATAACTTACACAAAATGCCCAACCCTAGATAAAAATTTAAAATTTTAAATAGGGTTTTTTCTTATTTAAATGTCTTTTATTATAATAGTGTTTTTTTAACAATTAGATATAAAATTAAATATATTTAATTGGAATTATTGTCCAGATATACTTCCATTAAAAATATACCTACGAAAACTATGTACTTAATTCTCAAAATTCATTTGTATTTCATCATTATTAGTTTAGAGACTAATAATTTGAATGGAGTCTATAATAATAACAGGTAATAATACAATATGTTGATGCAGCTTATGTAGCATTTAATTAGTCTAATAATCGGTCCATCCAATCTCATACTGATCAGTCCTGGACCACAGTCCGGTCCAACTTTTTAAAAGGCCGTCGGTCATTGGGCCGGACGGACCGATTAACAACTCTACTAGGGACTTATCAAACACCCAGTATATGACCATGATGATTTATGACACATTGTAGTTTGCTCTACTCCGAGGTTTTTGAATTTTTGAATTATATTTGCGCATTATACGTACTTACATATCTAACTGGGATATGGATAATGTTAATAACATGTAAAAGTGAACTATATACTGTATATTACAGATTGGTAAGTTCAGCAAAATATTTTTTACAATAATTAATGATGAAATCACGAAAATTACAAAATAAAATTAATTCAACCTTGATTACATACTATTTCTCACTAGAACAGTGAATTCTTTAACAAGATCTTTTGCAGCAACTCATGATGTAAAATATGATATTTCCATTTACCGCATATTATAATTATCGGAGTGGCAAGTAAATTTTGTAACCGAATTTTTTACAGCAACTCATGACGGTAATTGCGATACAAACTAACTCGACTTTAACTACAAACCATTGCAGCTGAAATAGCAAGTAAGTTTTACTTTAGAAGTCACGATAATTCGATACAAACTAACTTGACCTTAAATACATATTATGCTGATTAGAATAGCAAACTCTTTAACAGAAAGGATATTTTATAGCAACTATTTATAACACTACATGTTTGATTGTGAGTGAGTTTTGTTACAGAATTTCTTCCTGAGAAGAATTACAATAATTCCAATATAAGCTCAACCTTAACTACGAACAATTGTCATTGAAATAGCAAGTAAGTTTTACTATAGCTTATTATAGGAGTTGGAGGCATTATAATTCCGATGCAAGCTAACTTAATACATACTTCGATTGCCCAAAAAAATTCTGTAATGGAAGTTCTAAGTAACGAACGATTTTCGAAAATTTTCCGTGACGAAGTCACGGGCAAAGAGCTAGTAAATATCAAATTGCCGATTTCCTGATTACCAAATTTGATAGTAAATTGAAAAGCGCGATAAATAAGCTGGTTCTGACCTCTATATATGCTGTAATTTAAGAAAGTTACCTTTATCATTAGGCCACGCAAAGTTGATTTTTCGTTTTGCATTACGGATTTTTTTTTTTTTTTTTTAATTCAATTTACTGCAAATAGAATAATGATCATATTTAAGGTTATATTTGCACAACAAGGAAGCAAAAAATTGGGCCGGCAGTCATATTTTTCCAGTCAGTCCTATCGGACAATTACGGGAAATTAAGGTATCCACCGGGTGATATCGGATGAAAATAACGGGAAAAAATAGATGTCAAAAATCGAACAATTGGCATAATTGGGATCTAAAAAAAAAAAAAAAAATTTTTTTTTGAAAAATTGAAAAAATGGGACGGTGGGTAATGCAAAACGAAAAATCAACTTTGTGTGGCCTTATATCCAAATATACGGTATTTCTTTTTATAATACACCAAAGTATTCTTTTTGTAATTCGCAATTTGAAATTTATTATATTTAAAATAATTGATTTTAAATGACTTGAACAAAACTCGAAGAAATCTAATGATTCAAGTACTCTTCGTAGTTTAATTCATGGGTCACGAATTAACATCAATAAAAAGATGAATTTTTTATTTATAAATTTTTAAATTTGCTAAATTTGTTTAAAATCCTGATGATTCAAGATCTCACAAGTATTCGAAATATCAATGATGTCTAAGTCTTGTCTTAGTAAATATACATTGCAAATTCCTTATTAAAAAATAAGCTACGCTTGGTTTATGGGCAAAATGATTTTTTTTTCTTTTTAATTATAAGTTTTATCAAGCTACATGTTTATATAAAAAATTCAAGATATATACTGCATATATTGGAAATTTAAAGCGTTGATTTATTTGTTATACGCTAATCTCCATACTCTTCCCAATGGATGCTATAATTTGCAGGATCTTCATCTTCGCAATAAGACCATCGCATAATTGAATCAACAGTGATTTGGCAATCTGGATGGGTTTCGTTCCACCATGCAACGAACTTTTCAGGAGTGGTAAGTCCTCTTGCCATGAGGTTGAACATATACTTGGGGTCAGGAAATAGGCCGGTTTCCTCATAACCTTTCTTGAGGGCAATTTAATGTCGAGCAAACAACTAGTTTAGTAATTTTTCAAAGTACGTTATTGAATCAAAATCGAACAGCTACATACGGATACTGTGCTTAATTGTTAATGCTTTAGACTCTTCAGAGTCGCTATCTTCTTCATTGGGCGAATAGTAGGACACGCCACCGGCTAAAAAAATTCTGTTAAATATTTAAGCCATTATAAAAAGTGTTGTGCTCTTGATACCTTCTTTCTCAAAAAAAGGGGTTTTTTGATCAGTTTTAGCAGAATTTCGAGCTTGGGAGGTATTCATTATCTCTAGTACAAGATTCACTTTCACAATTAAATAATTATTTCGCAGATATGATCTTTCAGATGCCTCACTACTTATAAAACGACTGTCTTCAGAAACAACCTTACCAAGTGTTTTAATACTTAGGAGAAATAAATACAATTTAAAAAATCATGCTAATACGTCATGCTAAAAAAAAAAAAATTCGCATATCCATATTTGACAGGTTACATTACTAATGCATCATGATTATGTAGCAAGTTAAATTATTACAATAGTAACTTTGAGCTAAATTGTATGAAAAGCATTCGCATTACATGACATTTTTTGTTTATTTGGACTATGCCGGCAAATAATTTAGGCCGGAGGTGATTTTATTGAAATAGCAGAAATGTGCTAGATAAGCAAGTAACTGACCGAGTTGGTCAGAACGGCAAAGACATCCCGCGAAAAAGCAATCGTAATTGCACCGTAGGATTATTGTAGCCGGTGGGGCCATTCCCCGCCTGCTAAAGCAAGCCGGCTGTGAGTGAAGAATGCAAGGAAGAAATGCGAGGAAATGATAGAATCACGTGTCTTCCAAAGTTTATGATTCTATCATTTGTTCGCGTTTTTTTTTTTTTTTTTTAACCTGCAATGCTAAGGCTGTTTATGCTCTTATGGCTTTTTTTTTTTTTTTCTCTCTCTGCATATGACATGAAGACCGAGCGTCTTCCAAAGATGTAGGGTTGTTTAGTGAGGTCTGATTGTTATATGCCTATGATGGTGCCTACAAGTTTTAACTTTAGCTATGATTTCCGCGATGATTTTAATTACTGTGACATTAAGTGTCTGATACCGCTATTGTGTTCTATAATTCAGATTGATTGTCCTTGTGATGACTTTATGTTGTTAACTTTAATAGCAAATAATTTGTAACTGTCACCATTTTGCTCTACTATCCCGTAGTTTGTAATTAAGTGCTTATACGCCTTTTGTTTTTTTGGGGGGTTTTTTTTTTTTTTTGATAGATTTATTCATTTATTTATTTACTGTCCGTGCGTATATTCGTTGATAAGATTTTGTAACTATCTTGACTTTTTAGTATGTAATATAGTTAGATGTCTTTGGATTGTCTGTCTTTTATTTCTTTCTCATTAATACTGTTTTTCTAACTGTCCATTGGTTGGTGTTCTAATACCGCTATTTGGTTTTTTTTTTTTTTTTTTTTTTATATAGGTAGCTTAGTTGCTATTGTATGTCGATAGTGCTTAGAATATGTGGCCATTCAATATGCCTAGCCTAAAGTAATCTGCTTGTACTTTATTCTGATGATGACCGCATTTCAAAGTTTGAACAATGCTTGTTAATTAGAATATACTTGCGTAAGTTGCAACTGCCTTCAAAGGGTATATTCGAATATATTGAGGAATTCATCTAACGAACATCCCAATCTTTGAGCTAAAGGTAGCTGTGCATCTTGCGGTACTAATTCTGTAATTCATCTAGCATGGAAAGTATAGTTTGCTGCCTTAGCACCTAGTAGATATGAGGTTGTTTATTGGTCAGCTTGGTGACTAATCCTGTAACTATAATAATGTGTCTTTCTTGGAATGTGCCTTTATTAGCTGAAAATGTTGTCAACTCTCAATACTTGTACATCGGTCGTCTTTGTTGGGTTAATTATATATTAGGCGTTCAACTATCTTTGCTTCTTTTTTTTTTTTTTAAACGAGTTTTTGCCTGTTTCCAGGCGCGTTCTGCTGTGATTTAAGTAACAGTTTTCTAAAGAGTGCTGTGAGTGCTCTAATCCGGTTAGTATGTTGTTGGGATTATTCATATTTAGGTTTGCTTCGATTGCTGCAGTTGTTTTCGCATGATGTGTTTTTTTTTTTTTTTTTTTTTTTTTTAAAACTAGTTTAAACTGACTATAATTCTCAGATACTGCCTGATTAGTGCATCATGGCATGTTTGATTCCATCCCATGTGGCTTATTGTTTGTGATATCTGATGTAGTTAAGGTAGATATGTATATGCCGTTATAGTAGGTGTGACTTTGGTTATAGATATGTTGTAAATTGGCAAAGCTTCCTTTGATATTATTCATACCATCCGATTTTGTTAATCATTCGTTTCTCCCATGGTCAATTCCTTAACATTTGCTAATATTTGACTGCAGTATATACAATATCTGGTGAGTTTACGCCTAGCATTACTGCTGCTTGACCATTTATTGGCAAAGTCATTGGCTACTTATTTGTTGTTGCTATGGTGTTCTTATTGCAATATACTAGAATTCTGGTGTAATCTGGACCAAAGTAGTTTAGGCATTATTGTATGTATATATGCATACACATATCTATATATGAATTTATTTATATTTCTAAGCCTTGTGTGTCCGAAGCGTGATACTAACTAAAATGCGGACAGACCCAAATACAGAGTTACATTTTTGATATTGCTATTATTGATGCATCAAATGTGACTTTTTTTTTTTTTTATCCTACGTAAACATATAACATCCTCTGCTATGCTATGCTCCGGGCAATTATTATTGTTTGTACAACTACTGTAGTGTTCCGATCCTTAATCCGATCATCTGAATTGGTCCCTAAATTTAGATAAATTTAAATATCCATATCAGAGATTTCTACTCGGATTTGTCAAAGAACTTAAATAACGGACATAAGGATATTCTCAAAGCTAACTTTATTTCTAATCTGACACAGATTCAATCCGGATTTAATAGAATCAGGATGGCCTGTTAAAGATAGGATCGAAACACTATGTACAACTATGCATCCACTGACTTCAGTGTAAAAACAAAAGGTCTTAATGCCAATTCTAAAGAATGGTGTAAGCGCTAACTTATTAATGCGGGTGCTTAATTATAATGTAAGTGGTCTCTATATGAAATTCACGATCTAAATTCACTGCTTCTATGTGATTTAAAGCATATTTGTACGTGGAATTTTGTTAGTACTTTAGTGTTTCCTTATTATTAAGATGCCAGTTAATAGCTTTTTTTTTTTTTTTTTACATTAACTCTCAGTCCTATATGTTGTTATCGTTCTTAAATAATAAATTTATTATATTAATTGACTTCTAGTTCGAACACTATTATAGCATAGTCTGGAGATATTGATTGAGCTGTTCTACATGACTCAGCTAATCAATTTAACAAGCATAGCTTGAGTGATGGAGGTAATTTAGCCAAGCACATTTATTTTATCCAATCGGTGCTGAATACTAAACTTTATTAAAATTGCACGTTGACTTAATGCCCTTGTGCATTAGGTCTAATTCTGAAAGATTTGTTCAAATTCGCACGTGATTCTTCGTATTTATTATAAGTTGCTATATGACTTCTCATTGCCCAATTGTCAGCAGATTAATTTGTAGTCTCTTGCTTGTGTCCGCAAGATATCTCTCATGCTGTAAGTTTCACCACACTGATTTAATGTTTCTGCGTGATATGACTTAATTTTCGTTGATTCATTCAAATCAGCAGGCGATTCTCTATACTCATCCTTATACAATAAGTAGCACCTCGTTAGCTCATTGCCTTGCTTCATTTGGTTGATTTCTAATAAATTATGTAAATCTACAAGTGATTCCTCGCGTAGCTTCGTCTTGCGACCAGTCACTCCACTAATTCCAATGCATATGCATTTTAGTTTGCTGACACACCATTTAACATTCATGTCTGACTTGATGCTTAATGATTTTCTGAGTCTGTAAACAATTTTTCGTTATAAGATAAACTAGCACTATGTTAACTTAATGCTACCACATCATTTAGTTTGATTTTTAATGGTTAATTTAGATTAATGTCAGTGCAAGTAGTTCTTTATTTTTATTCATGTTAAGTTTATCACATTCACCTAATGTCTGTATATTATTTGATCGCTTTTTTTTTTTTTTCAGTGATTCAATTGATTCTGCAATTATTATTTGTGCCTATTTATCAAGTGGTAAGTTACTCTATGACTATTTGTTGTGAACATATTATCCGATTTAATTCTAATGATTTATTTAAATCTGCAAGGAATTCTATATCTATTCATCATTTTATCAGTTGACCACGTTGACTTAGTGCACATGCCTTATCTGACTTGATTTCTCGTGATTCATTGAAATCTGCAAGTGATCTTTATATTTATTCATTATGTGACAAGTTGGTTTCCAAGTTCTCAATACCTATGCATTATTGGGTTCAATCTTCAGCAATTCTTCGTTTTACTCATCATGTGATAAGTTTTTTCTACTTAATCTGGAAGTAGCATTAGGTCCAACTAACGATATTTAAACAGCTAATGTATTCTTTGATTCAATTTCTAATGATATATTTTAATCTGCAAGGGATTCATCACATCTATTCATCTTGTGTCAAGTTCCACCATGTCAGCTTACCGCCTTCCTTGGTTCAGCTTCTAGTGTTTTATTTAATCACCAAGATTCGTCATATCCACTCTCCATGCGATAAGTTCTGATATATTGGCTTAGTGCGAAAGCGTTACTTGATTTGATTTCTAGATCATTTTAGATTTGCAGGCGATTCTTAGTTTATCCTATATACCGTTTCGACTCAGGTTATTCTCAAGCATCCTCTCATTGTAACTTGCTGATGATTGAACCCAATAATGCATAGGTATTGAGAACTTGGAAACCAACTTGTCACATAATGAATAAATATAAAGATCACTTGCAGATTTCAATGAATCACGAGAAATCAAGTCAGATAAGGCATGTGCACTAAGTCAACGTGGTCAACTGATAAAATGATGAATAGATATAGAATTCCTTGCAGATTTAAATAAATCATTAGAATTAAATCGGATAATATGTTCACAACAAATAGTCATAGAGTAACTTACCACTTGATAAATAGGCACAAATAATAATTGCAGAATCAATTGAATCACTGAAAAAAAAAAAAAAGCGATCAAATAATATACAGACATTAGGTGAATGTGATAAACTTAACATGAATAAAAATAAAGAACTACTTGCACTGACATTAATCTAAATTAACCATTAAAAATCAAACTAAATGATGTGGTAGCATTAAGTTAACATAGTGCTAGTTTATCTTATAACGAAAAATTGTTTACAGACTCAGAAAATCATTAAGCATCAAGTCAGACATGAATGTTAAATGGTGTGTCAGCAAACTAAAATGCATATGCATTGGAATTAGTGGAGTGACTGGTCGCAAGACGAAGCTACGCGAGGAATCACTTGTAGATTTACATAATTTATTAGAAATCAACCAAATGAAGCAAGGCAATGAGCTAACGAGGTGCTACTTATTGTATAAGGATGAGTATAGAGAATCGCCTGCTGATTTGAATGAATCAACGAAAATTAAGTCATATCACGCAGAAACATTAAATCAGTGTGGTGAAACTTACAGCATGAGAGATATCTTGCGGACACAAGCAAGAGACTACAAATTAATCTGCTGACAATTGGGCAATGAGAAGTCATATAGCAACTTATAATAAATACGAAGAATCACGTGCGAATTTGAACAAATCTTTCAGAATTAGACCTAATGCACAAGGGCATTAAGTCAACGTGCAATTTTAATAAAGTTTAGTATTCAGCACCGATTGGATAAAATAAATGTGCTTGGCTAAATTACCTCCATCACTCAAGCTATGCTTGTTAAATTGATTAGCTGAGTCATGTAGAACAGCTCAATCAATATCTCCAGACTATGCTATAATAGTGTTCGAACTAGAAGTCAATTAATATAATAAATTTATTATTTAAGAACGATAACAACATATAGGACTGAGAGTTAATGTAAAAAAAAAAAAAAAAAGCTATTAACTGGCATCTTAATAATAAGGAAACACTAAAGTACTAACAAAATTCCACGTACAAATATGCTTTAAATCACATAGAAGCAGTGAATTTAGATCGTGAATTTCATATAGAGACCACTTACATTATAATTAAGCACCCGCATTAATAAGTTAGCGCTTACACCATTCTTTAGAATTGGCATTAAGACCTTTTGTTTTTACACTGAAGTCAGTGGATGCATAGTTGTACATAGTGTTTCGATCCTATCTTTAACAGGCCATCCTGATTCTATTAAATCCGGATTGAATCTGTGTCAGATTAGAAATAAAGTTAGCTTTGAGAATATCCTTATGTCCGTTATTTAAGTTCTTTGACAAATCCGAGTAGAAATCTCTGATATGGATATTTAAATTTATCTAAATTTAGGGACCAATTCAGATGATCGGATTAAGGATCGGAACACTACAGTAGTTGTACAAACAATAATAATTGCCCGGAGCATAGCATAGCAGAGGATGTTATATGTTTACGTAGGATAAAAAAAAAAAAAAGTCACATTTGATGCATCAATAATAGCAATATCAAAAATGTAACTCTGTATTTGGGTCTGTCCGCATTTTAGTTAGTATCACGCTTCGGACACACAAGGCTTAGAAATATAAATAAATTCATATATAGATATGTGTATGCATATATACATACAATAATGCCTAAACTACTTTGGTCCAGATTACACCAGAATTCTAGTATATTGCAATAAGAACACCATAGCAACAACAAATAAGTAGCCAATGACTTTGCCAATAAATGGTCAAGCAGCAGTAATGCTAGGCGTAAACTCACCAGATATTGTATATACTGCAGTCAAATATTAGCAAATGTTAAGGAATTGACCATGGGAGAAACGAATGATTAACAAAATCGGATGGTATGAATAATATCAAAGGAAGCTTTGCCAATTTACAACATATCTATAACCAAAGTCACACCTACTATAACGGCATATACATATCTACCTTAACTACATCAGATATCACAAACAATAAGCCACATGGGATGGAATCAAACATGCCATGATGCACTAATCAGGCAGTATCTGAGAATTATAGTCAGTTTAAACTAGTTTTAAAAAAAAAAAAAAAAAAAAAAAAAACACATCATGCGAAAACAACTGCAGCAATCGAAGCAAACCTAAATATGAATAATCCCAACAACATACTAACCGGATTAGAGCACTCACAGCACTCTTTAGAAAACTGTTACTTAAATCACAGCAGAACGCGCCTGGAAACAGGCAAAAACTCGTTTAAAAAAAAAAAAAAGAAGCAAAGATAGTTGAACGCCTAATATATAATTAACCCAACAAAGACGACCGATGTACAAGTATTGAGAGTTGACAACATTTTCAGCTAATAAAGGCACATTCCAAGAAAGACACATTATTATAGTTACAGGATTAGTCACCAAGCTGACCAATAAACAACCTCATATCTACTAGGTGCTAAGGCAGCAAACTATACTTTCCATGCTAGATGAATTACAGAATTAGTACCGCAAGATGCACAGCTACCTTTAGCTCAAAGATTGGGATGTTCGTTAGATGAATTCCTCAATATATTCGAATATACCCTTTGAAGGCAGTTGCAACTTACGCAAGTATATTCTAATTAACAAGCATTGTTCAAACTTTGAAATGCGGTCATCATCAGAATAAAGTACAAGCAGATTACTTTAGGCTAGGCATATTGAATGGCCACATATTCTAAGCACTATCGACATACAATAGCAACTAAGCTACCTATATAAAAAAAAAAAAAAAAAAAAAACCAAATAGCGGTATTAGAACACCAACCAATGGACAGTTAGAAAAACAGTATTAATGAGAAAGAAATAAAAGACAGACAATCCAAAGACATCTAACTATATTACATACTAAAAAGTCAAGATAGTTACAAAATCTTATCAACGAATATACGCACGGACAGTAAATAAATAAATGAATAAATCTATCAAAAAAAAAAAAAAACCCCCCAAAAAAACAAAAGGCGTATAAGCACTTAATTACAAACTACGGGATAGTAGAGCAAAATGGTGACAGTTACAAATTATTTGCTATTAAAGTTAACAACATAAAGTCATCACAAGGACAATCAATCTGAATTATAGAACACAATAGCGGTATCAGACACTTAATGTCACAGTAATTAAAATCATCGCGGAAATCATAGCTAAAGTTAAAACTTGTAGGCACCATCATAGGCATATAACAATCAGACCTCACTAAACAACCCTACATCTTTGGAAGACGCTCGGTCTTCATGTCATATGCAGAGAGAGAAAAAAAAAAAAAAAGCCATAAGAGCATAAACAGCCTTAGCATTGCAGGTTAAAAAAAAAAAAAAAAAACGCGAACAAATGATAGAATCATAAACTTTGGAAGACACGTGATTCTATCATTTCCTCGCATTTCTTCCTTGCATTCTTCACTCACAGCCGGCTTGCTTTAGCAGGCGGGGAATGGCCCCACCGGCTACAATAATCCTACGGTGCAATTACGATTGCTTTTTCGCGGGATGTCTTTGCCGTTCTGACCAACTCGGTCAGTTACTTGCTTATCTAGCACATTTCTGCTATTTCAATAAAATCACCTCCGGCCTAAATTATTTGCCGGCATAGTCCAAATAAACAAAAAATGTCATGTAATGCGAATGCTTTTCATACAATTTAGCTCAAAGTTACTATTGTAATAATTTAACTTGCTACATAATCATGATGCATTAGTAATGTAACCTGTCAAATATGGATATGCGAATTTTTTTTTTTTTAGCATGACGTATTAGCATGATTTTTTAAATTGTATTTATTTCTCCTAAGTATTAAAACACTTGGTAAGGTTGTTTCTGAAGACAGTCGTTTTATAAGTAGTGAGGCATCTGAAAGATCATATCTGCGAAATAATTATTTAATTGTGAAAGTGAATCTTGTACTAGAGATAATGAATACCTCCCAAGCTCGAAATTCTGCTAAAACTGATCAAAAAACCCCTTTTTTTGAGAAAGAAGGTATCAAGAGCACAACACTTTTTATAATGGCTTAAATATTTAACAGAATTTTTTTAGCCGGTGGCGTGTCCTACTATTCGCCCAATGAAGAAGATAGCGACTCTGAAGAGTCTAAAGCATTAACAATTAAGCACAGTATCCGTATGTAGCTGTTCGATTTTGATTCAATAACGTACTTTGAAAAATTACTAAACTAGTTGTTTGCTCGACATTAAATTGCCCTCAAGAAAGGTTATGAGGAAACCGGCCTATTTCCTGACCCCAAGTATATGTTCAACCTCATGGCAAGAGGACTTACCACTCCTGAAAAGTTCGTTGCATGGTGGAACGAAACCCATCCAGATTGCCAAATCACTGTTGATTCAATTATGCGATGGTCTTATTGCGAAGATGAAGATCCTGCAAATTATAGCATCCATTGGGAAGAGTATGGAGATTAGCGTATAACAAATAAATCAACGCTTTAAATTTCCAATATATGCAGTATATATCTTGAATTTTTTATATAAACATGTAGCTTGATAAAACTTATAATTAAAAAGAAAAAAAAATCATTTTGCCCATAAACCAAGCGTAGCTTATTTTTTAATAAGGAATTTGCAATGTATATTTACTAAGACAAGACTTAGACATCATTGATATTTCGAATACTTGTGAGATCTTGAATCATCAGGATTTTAAACAAATTTAGCAAATTTAAAAATTTATAAATAAAAAATTCATCTTTTTATTGATGTTAATTCGTGACCCATGAATTAAACTACGAAGAGTACTTGAATCATTAGATTTCTTCGAGTTTTGTTCAAGTCATTTAAAATCAATTATTTTAAATATAATAAATTTCAAATTGCGAATTACAAAAAGAATACTTTGGTGTATTATAAAAAGAAATACCGTATATTTGGATATAAGGCCACACAAAGTTGATTTTTCGTTTTGCATTACCCACCGTCCCATTTTTTCAATTTTTCAAAAAAAAATTTTTTTTTTTTTTTTTAGATCCCAATTATGCCAATTGTTCGATTTTTGACATCTATTTTTTCCCGTTATTTTCATCCGATATCACCCGGTGGATACCTTAATTTCCCGTAATTGTCCGATAGGACTGACTGGAAAAATATGACTGCCGGCCCAATTTTTTGCTTCCTTGTTGTGCAAATATAACCTTAAATATGATCATTATTCTATTTGCAGTAAATTGAATTAAAAAAAAAAAAAAAAAATCCGTAATGCAAAACGAAAAATCAACTTTGCGTGGCCTAATGATAAAGGTAACTTTCTTAAATTACAGCATATATAGAGGTCAGAACCAGCTTATTTATCGCGCTTTTCAATTTACTATCAAATTTGGTAATCAGGAAATCGGCAATTTGATATTTACTAGCTCTTTGCCCGTGACTTCGTCACGGAAAATTTTCGAAAATCGTTCGTTACTTAGAACTTCCATTACAGAATTTTTTTGGGCAATCGAAGTATGTATTAAGTTAGCTTGCATCGGAATTATAATGCCTCCAACTCCTATAATAAGCTATAGTAAAACTTACTTGCTATTTCAATGACAATTGTTCGTAGTTAAGGTTGAGCTTATATTGGAATTATTGTAATTCTTCTCAGGAAGAAATTCTGTAACAAAACTCACTCACAATCAAACATGTAGTGTTATAAATAGTTGCTATAAAATATCCTTTCTGTTAAAGAGTTTGCTATTCTAATCAGCATAATATGTATTTAAGGTCAAGTTAGTTTGTATCGAATTATCGTGACTTCTAAAGTAAAACTTACTTGCTATTTCAGCTGCAATGGTTTGTAGTTAAAGTCGAGTTAGTTTGTATCGCAATTACCGTCATGAGTTGCTGTAAAAAATTCGGTTACAAAATTTACTTGCCACTCCGATAATTATAATATGCGGTAAATGGAAATATCATATTTTACATCATGAGTTGCTGCAAAAGATCTTGTTAAAGAATTCACTGTTCTAGTGAGAAATAGTATGTAATCAAGGTTGAATTAATTTTATTTTGTAATTTTCGTGATTTCATCATTAATTATTGTAAAAAATATTTTGCTGAACTTACCAATCTGTAATATACAGTATATAGTTCACTTTTACATGTTATTAACATTATCCATATCCCAGTTAGATATGTAAGTACGTATAATGCGCAAATATAATTCAAAAATTCAAAAACCTCGGAGTAGAGCAAACTACAATGTGTCATAAATCATCATGGTCATATACTGGGTGTTTGATAAGTCCCTAGTAGAGTTGTTAATCGGTCCGTCCGGCCCAATGACCGACGGCCTTTTAAAAAGTTGGACCGGACTGTGGTCCAGGACTGATCAGTATGAGATTGGATGGACCGATTATTAGACTAATTAAATGCTACATAAGCTGCATCAACATATTGTATTATTACCTGTTATTATTATAGACTCCATTCAAATTATTAGTCTCTAAACTAATAATGATGAAATACAAATGAATTTTGAGAATTAAGTACATAGTTTTCGTAGGTATATTTTTAATGGAAGTATATCTGGACAATAATTCCAATTAAATATATTTAATTTTATATCTAATTGTTAAAAAAACACTATTATAATAAAAGACATTTAAATAAGAAAAAACCCTATTTAAAATTTTAAATTTTTATCTAGGGTTGGGCATTTTGTGTAAGTTATCAAAATTTAATTTAAGTTACATTTTAGTTTATGTAAGTTACAATGTAAGGTAAGGTAAGTTATAAATTTTAAAAATTACTAGAATTACATTAAGACCTCTATAAATGCACCCCTCAGAACCATAGTAAAAAAAAGCAAAATATGCACTTAAAAAGTGTATGCAATTATAAAGAACAAAATATATAGTGCTCTTATAAGTTGGGGCTAAGCTATACCGTGCATTTAGAAAGAATTTACATAGGGTGTGCACTTATAGAGTGTGCACTTCTGGAGGTTTTACTATATATAGTTATTTATAAAAATAAAGTATCTGCAAATTCTTGTTTTTGATCGGGCATATGTAATTTATCTGAGATATATATTGTATAATTTCTGCAATCAACTATCAACTGTTCAGTAATAGCGGAAACCAATATGCAAAACACTTACTTGGCACAGTAATTTGAAAAGCGTGATAAATAATTCTTTTATATATTGGTATTACAGTAAAACCTCTATAAGTGCACGCACTTGGGACCAAGCTTTAACAACATGTACTTAGAGATTAATAAGAGAATGTGTATTTATAGGAGCATGTACAGTCAACCCTCTCTATAATCACGTATTTTGTTTACTTAAGAACTTTTTTAAAAAATGTGCTTATAAAGAAGTTGTGCTTATATAGAGGTGGTTTTTTATATGTTTAATCGTAATTTGTTTGAGTGTAGAATGTGATAAAGAGGGGTCTTTATATGATGTGATTATAGAGGGGGAGACTGTAGAGGGGATAACTGTATATATTTGGGCCAGAACTTGATAGAGAGTGTGCGCACTTATGGAGGTTTTACTGTATATAATTATGTATATTAAATAGTATTAATCGAAATAGCCGGCATGGGTGTTATTCGAATTTTTGCCGAATTAAGCTTAATTCGGGCCAAAATTCGAAATAACGCCCATGCCTGTTATTTCAAGAATTACGGTAGTTTAATATTATAAATTATTTATAATAATTTACTCAAAATTCTAATAATAAACTATTTAAATTTAAATAAATTTTTAATTTAAAAAATTATATATAAATATACGTATATGTAACTTACATTTGTTAGATGTAGGTTACAGTGTAACTTACATTGTAACTTACAATGTAACTTACATTTGACCAACCCTATTTTTATCATTGTTTAAAACTCTAAAGATCAACCTAATATTGTAAAGTAATATATGATTTATTGTAAAGAGTAGCTTTTCTTAACATATTTTCTAATTGTCCTAATTTGTTTCAAATCATAGAAATCATGATAATTTAATGCAAACTACCACAACTCTTAACCACAAATTAATATAAAATTACAATATTAATACATAATAATTAAATACTATATGTTGATATATATAAATATATAAAATTATTATAAATAACTTTGCTAAACAATTTTGTATATTATTAATTAAATTTGTAAAGATTTATAAATCTTCAAGAAGTGCTTTATTTTTATAAATTTTTGTTGTTAATGTTTTTTTATAACGATTTAATGTTAACCAATAAGTAATTTAAATAAAAAAGTAAATAAAATAATTAAAATTAAAGAAATTTTATTCCAACCCATGTATGCCTCACCTGAACCACTCTAATCTTCTTCAAATGAAAACAATTTTTCTGTTAAGTATTCTTTTAATAAGAATAAATATTAAAATTACAACTTTTAATTGCAGCAATATTTCAATTATTAAAATTATTTTATAAAATTACATTCTAATTCACTATAAATGCAAAATTTAAAGTAAGCCGGTTTATTACATTTCAGCTAACTTTTTATAATTAATAAAAGCTTTATATTCATCTTTTTTAACACCAAATCCATAAAGATAGCATTGTGCAACATTATATATACTACGAGCATAACCTATTTCAGCAGATTTAAGAAAATACTTGAATGCCTTATTTTTATCTATTTCAACACCAACTCCAAATTTATAGCAACATCCAATATTATTTATTCCTATAACATGCCCATCTCTGCAGATTTTTGATAATACATTAATGCCTTATATTCATCCTTTTCAACACCAATTCCATTATGAAAACAATATCCAACACTAAATATCCCTTCAGCAAGCTCCATATCAGCGGCTTTTTGATAATGAACAAATCCCTTACGATCGTTCTTTCCAATCCATAAACCAAACCGATAACATCTTGCAATAAAAATTTGAGCTATAGGATTAAATTGATTATCCAAGCACCAATTAATAATATTATCAGGATTTTGCTTCCTATTTTCTAGAAATTGATTTAATATATTAAAGACCGAATCTATATCATTGCATTTAAATCTTTCTTTATTGTATATATTATATAATTCTTTAACAATTTCATCAAAAAATTCATAGTATTATTGTTTGTTAAATATATTTGGTCAAAATTATCAATTATTTGGGTAGTTTCATTTGATGAACTGGCAATTTTTTCTGGATGTTTTGCAGTTAGATTATTTGACATTTTAAAATCTAGAAAAAAATTATTTTAAAAGTATTGGTATTATGTATATATGTGCTTTTTTATACATCAATGTTATCGGTCATAGCTGTTCATGATCGAACATGATTTATGACCATGAGCGATCATAACATCCCTAATTTAAGAACTGTCTTAGATATAAATATTTTCTTTATTCACCAAAGACTTTTTTTTACCAGGAACGGAGTACGAGTATTGGTTAAGTGTGTGATGTATACAATTCTGGGCATCCGATTGGATGATCATTCCTCGTGA